GGGATAGATGGAAGGCACAGATTATGAAACAAAATTCCTCCCAAGCCTCCGAGCCCAGATGTCCCTCTAGCAGTTCTCTCCTGTGGATTGCAGATCCTTCTTGCTGCTCTTCCTACCTTCCTGGGTGCTGGCTCTGCCCAGCTCCACATGCCCAGGCTTCTCTTCCTATCCTTCTTCTCTAAGCTCAGCTGAAGTCCCGTAGGGCATGAAATGCAGCGCTCAGGGGACCTGTGGGATGCCAGTCCCTCTTCTGGGTGCTGCCCCTGCTCATGCAGCGTGATACAACCTGGTATTTACCTTTCATGTGAGTACATCCCGTTCAGTTCATCACACGCCAGCTAAAATATAACATGATATAACATGAATTGCCTTCCCACTTTGGCTGACACAGTTTGCTCTTTGCTTTTTCTGAGGCATAACTTTCTAAGTGCCACAAGGCAAGGTTCTGCTATAGGAAATGAGGTAGTGCTGCTCATGTAGCTGCTCCTTTTCAGCGGAGAAGATCATCTTCAGGGAGAAGACTAAAGAAATCCTTAGCATGACTCATGCTCTCACACAGAGCTGAAGCTTCAGTGCCTGGCTTTGGCCGTGAGTTGGAAGCATGCAGGCAAAGACTATGCTAGAGATGTCAACTCTGCATTTTATTCTTCAGCAGCTTATTGTATTCCCAGCTCTACTCTCAGCTTTTCCCATTGCTGGCACACATTTCTCCCCATGACAGCTCAGCACTAGCCAGACTGCTCTCCAGAAGCTTGGCTAGACCTTGCATAAGGGCAGAGCATTGAGTGTTCGCTAATGTCCCTACAAACCAGAGCCTTGCAGAAATCGTGCCAATGCCTCCAGTGCTGCATGACCTCCTCAGCCCAGCAGGTTCTCACCCTTCCGTTCCCTTGGTTTCCTCTTGTCATGCCACAAAAAAGCAGAAGTAGCAGACGTGAAAGAAACCTGATGTGCCAGCCCAGTGATCCTGCCCAGGTACGTGCCAGACTCCTGGCTGCCCACATTGCGACTCTACTTCCCACCCATTGAATCAGGGGCAAAAGAAATCTGTGGTTGATCTGCTGTGGTTTTGGGAAGCTTGCCAGGAGATGTGCCATGCACACCCACCAGAGAAGTGTCCTGACCCTCCCCTGATGTTGTGTCGCCTTCCCCACCAGTGTCACCTGTGAGCTGTGCCTGCAGCAGCACCCAAGAGTTACTGCAGGCAGCTGCTGGGGGAAAGCTCTTCATCACCCTCCTCGTTTCAGCATTATCCCTGCCAGGCTACAGGCGTGAACATTGCTTTGTAGCTGGACCTTAGCCCTGGGCTTAAACCATGCTCTGTGGCTCAAGAACTAGGAAAGAATTACAGAGCAGCTCCGTTACTGAAATGCACTTCTTGTGTGTGTCTCAGTTCTGTGCATTAGTGAGTTCTTAGAAATATTTTGGCCGTGAATTGGTTCTACATGCTACCCAGAAGGCAGGCTTTCCAGCTGCCCAGCAGTGGAGGAAGCCAAGGAGAACATAGGCACAGAGGCCAAGGCTGCCCAGCAAAATGCCCCTGGGCTTAGCCAGGAAGCCTCTGCAAACAGCAGCCTTTGACTGCCTGGACTGGTTCTGTCCTGAACAGCCTCAAAGCAGCTGCCAAAACCCAGCACGAGGAAGAGAAAAGGTGTGGTAATGCTGCAAGACAGTGCTGGGGAGAGCCAGGACGTCAGGCTAAAGCAGCCACCCCTTCCCTGTCTGGTCCCCAGCAGTGCTGCCTTATGATCCGGTGCAGCTCAGCACTACTGCTCCAGAGAGTGACGGAGAGGGAAGAGAAATAGCTCCATGGTTAAAGGCAGCGCTAAGACATGTATCACATGAATAAGCTTCTCTGGCCACAGCGCTAGCCTATGCAACCTGGCCTCAGCTGCACTCGTCCCTCCCAGGGAGGGGTGAAGTGGGGTGGGCAGCATGGCTGTCCTCTGGTGCAGAGGGATCTGCCAGGGAAGCACAGAGCCGGAGGAGAGCCTGCTTGCAGCGCAGGCTGCAAAGGGGAGGTCTCACCCGCGGCATACATGGGGAGGTTGGCGTGGCAGAAGAGCACGGTTATGGGTGGCAGTTGTACACTGGAATTATTGGCCCATGAGCCTTCAGCTTCTCATCTGAGACACTTTGCATGATCTCGTGTCTACCTTCAGAGGCATTAGCCATTCTCCTCCATTTGCAATCCATGGCTGAACTGAAAGTAGGTAACAGAAACAAAGAAAACACTGAGCTCCTCCTTATATAAAGAATTTAATTGAAACTAGATTTACTTTAACAGATAGAAAATACATAACAAGTAGCATGGTCCTGTATATTGCAAGCCCTCTACCCTCAGTGTAAAGTAGGATGTTGTCCAGCCTGGATTGCAGTCATTCCAACCAGGATGAACAAAAGGGTTTCACCAATGATTCCCTGACTTGACCTCTGGTTAAGGACTGAGGAGCAGTGTGCCAGCACACTGATGCAAGGGCAGGAAATTTCCTCTGCAGAAAGATCTTCTTGCCCCTTGCCAGCTCCTGTTCAAGTGCTCCTGCACTCAACAAAAAGGACACACCATAGGATCAGTTTCAGTCCTTACTTCCCAAGCCAAATCCCAGCTTCTCTTGGCACCCAGAGCAGCAGATACACAGGACCAAAAGAGAGACAGAGGACTTGAAGAGGTAGGAAATCAGTACAGGAATCTGTGAGAGAACAGGTTGTTGGGAGATATCCAGCTTGTGACTATTAACAGTGCGAGGCGAGGGTCTCTAGGCACATTGAAGTACTGGCACGCAGACTGTCAGGCACCGTGGGTCTGTGTAGAGTGTGACGGTTCCCATCCTCTCCCCTCTGCCAGGATGAGACTGGTCCAGATACTGCAGTCTCCGCCACTGAGACTGGGTGAGTGCTGATGAAAGTGAATTTCTGCAGCAGTCTGGTCTAAAGGCACAGGGCCAGCTGGGTGCAGCAAAAACAAAAAGAAGAAAAAAGAAAAAAGGCTGCTGTATGTCTAGATGTGTTCACCTAGTTATGCAAGGTCCAGCAGCACTGGAAGATGACAGGGCTCAGCCACTTTGACCTGCAGGAAAGTCACAAAATGCAACTCAGTGGAGGACATAAAAGGAGGGCTCCATTCAGCCATCCCAGTATGACATGCTTGCAGTTGTCTGTGCAGATCCCACACATTTTGTCTTCCTTCTGCCTAACCTCAGATGCAAGGATCAACCTGCGTACATCAATACCCACGTACAGGAATGAATAAATTGAGTCAAAGGTTTCAGGGAGAGGATTTCCTCATCCATCAGGAGGGGTACAAGACAGGCCCCAGCTAAAAAGCTTTGCTCCAACACAAATTCCTGGGAGCGGAACCAAGCAAGGGACTCGGCAATCCTGATGCATGCAAGCCCCGCAGGGGGTCTGCAGCCAACAGCATGGTCTTGTGATCCCTCTCCACTCCCAGCTGACACAAATCCAGATTTACAACAGCACGGATGCTGCTTCCTCCTGTGTTCAGCTACTGAATGGGACAGGGATTTACTTACTGGCTGCATAGGGGAGCTGCTCATCCACCAGATGCTTCAGACAATTAATGCACTGGGCACAGCCAGATGTGTCAGAAGGCCCTTCCTGGCCACTCCATATACCCCTATAACCCACCCAGTATATTACAGCCTCAGTAACCAGTTGTGTTTCCAGCTGCTTGTTTGAAGTTCTCACAGACTGCTGCCTTTTCGTATGTTCTCAGCCTTTCCTTTAGCTTATTGCCACCAGGGCTCTCTGCCCAGCACCCACTTCTGATACATGCCTCTCTCCACGACATTAAGCCACTGCAGCTAACTATTGTAGCATGCAGGTATGCTTTCTGATAGTACCCGTTCTGCCAGCCTCAGCCGTCTTAACGACCTGTGAGCTCCCTCCAGCAGCTTTGTTACTGTATTGCAAGCACACTGTGCACCACAGGTGCTGGCTGGGAACCCAAACATATGCTGATTTTTCCTGGTCTCTTTGCAATTCTGAAACAGAAGCTGGCCACTGCCATCTGTTTTTCCTGCTCTATTTGTAGGTAGTTTGTGGCAAACAGATGCTCCAGGTAGAGCAGGAAGGGAAGAGCCCCTTTGCTTCTCTATTTCCCAGGGAAGCTACAATTGCTGTCTGCCCTCCTCTTACCATGTCACTTGGACTTTACATCATCAGTGCTGATATCTCGACAGCGGCTCTGTACAGAGGTGTTCAAGGGAACGGAAGAGAACTGCAATGAGAAGCAGAGAGACAGCATTAGGGGAGCAGTGACTGCGATGACGGCCACACCATCATTTCTTTGGGCACCTCAGCAAGCCTCTCACAGGGTCTTCCCCAGCCCAGCACTTCCAAGGAACACAGTCTTGATCCCAAGACCACTAAGTGCTACTTGTGGAAGCCTCCTCTATCCTGCCCCTGGGTAGGGTGGCTCCATGTGTTCCAGGGCGGCTATGGGTGGCAAGGCTTGGCAGAGGATATGCCCCAGCTTACCTGCTGGATTTCCTTCATCGCCAGGCGTATAAAAGAGTGGTGGCGAGGGAGGGCTTGTTGGCTGCCTCTCTCCTTCCCTGAGCTTGGCGTTGTCTTACTCTTGTCCAGGCTCTGTTGGTTTCGGCAACTCTTGGTGCTCTTGAACCGCACATACCTGAGAACTTCCGCTGCTCCTGACTGCAGAGCCGGTCTGCTGGCGGAAGGCCTGGAGGGGCAGGGCTGCTCCTCTGGAGGTCTCTCCTGCTTGGCTGCTGGCAGACTCAGATCTTTGTAATCCAAACTCTCACTACTTTTCTGAGGGAGAGAAGAGTGGATTCAGCAGTGGCTTGCAGACCCTCCACACACCCCAACCAGTACAACAAAGAGAAATATCCAGCTGTGACCACTGCTGACATTCAGGGGGCGAGGGGGGTTATCCATCTGCCAGGACCTCTACCCCACACCAGGACTCCCTAGTGGCCAGCTAGTAGTGTTTCCTAGTGCATGCAGAAGAGGCCAAGCTGCTAGGCCAGAATGGGGCACCCCCAATGGGAACACAAAAGAGAAATGGTGCCACAGTGACTCTATCCACTCAGAGCACAGTCCGTACCCCATCCCTTTTTCCGGCTGCAGATCCTTGACATTCACCTGCTCGCAGGGAAGAGTGAGTGTCTCCATGAAGGGCTGGATGCCCACAGTCTGGTGATACCGAACCAGTTCGGTGAGCGAGGCATGAGCCCGGTCTTCCCCCAGGATGACATACTGTGTACTAGGCTGCATTTGGATCATGTAGTGTCTGCAGCAGTCTTTGCTCCTGAGGAGATGGACAAAAATAGTCATGGCATGGGGCTACAACATCTCTCCAGGACCCAGTCATTGCTTTCTGCACTTGTCAAGTGCAGAGGCCAAATGTGATCAGGAGCCACAGCAACAAATATCACAAAGATGCAGGAGATGCACTAGAGTGTCACATGCTGCACTAAACAGGCACTGGAGGAGGAGCAATTTCCCCAAAGTCAGTGACAGAAGAACCCCAGCAGCCAGATCCAAATCCCAGCAGACTGTACTGCCTCCTATGCCTGTTGCCCATACTAAAACTCTGTCCTACCCCTTCCCTGAGGCCATAAAAGACCATGACCTTGTAGCACTCCGATGGCCTTTCCTCAGGCCCTCCTCTAGACTCATCTCTTCTGCTTTAATCTTCTTCCAACCTGTTTTGCCCACTCAGCCACATAGCACAGCCTAAGCAGGACCTGCACCCTTGCAGCCACAGCATCCCACCCTCAAACAGATCTATTTTTTGGTGAGTGACAGACTCCACAGTCTCCTGTCTGCAACTCCAAACTGTCTGAGACCCACAACAGGAGAGGCTGAACATCATCCTTACTGGACTCCTTTGTGAAGGAAGTTAACACCTCCAGCCATGCATAGCTCAATTTCATAGAATCATAGAACCATTTAGGTTGGAAAGGACCTTTAAGATCATCGAGTCCAACTGTTAACCTAGCACTGCCAAGTCCACCACTAAACAATGTCCCTATGCACCATGCTGACACTTTTTAAAAATACCTCCAGGGATGGTGACTCCACCACTTCCCTAGGCAGCCTGTTCCAATGCTTGACAACCCTTTCAGAGAAGGAATTTTTCCTAATGTCCAATCTAAACCTCCCCTGGCACAACTTGAGGCCATTTCCTTTCTTCCTATTGCTTGTTACTTGGGAGGAGAGACTGACACCCACCTCACTACAACCTCCTTTCAGGCAGTTGTAGAGATCGATAAGGTCCTCCCTTGAGCCTTCTCTCCAAGGTTCATTACCTACCTGTATGTCAATGTGTAGCCTGGTTGGCTCTGGCTGATCCAAATAATGAAGCAACCCAAAGGCTTGTCAGTTAGCAAGTTTTCAGCTTCCCTGGAAACAGAAAAGAGTTTTTCACCAGACAGTGAGCAGCTGCCTCTGTGCAGGAATTCCCATTCTACTTCATGTGCTACCATGGTAGTGCTCCCAGTCCACAGGAAGGCCAGCATCTGCCCCATGTGTTCCCAGCTAGAGGTTTCTAGACTCAGGCTTGCCGTATGAGAAGGCACTAGCAGGCTGAGGAGGCACAATACTCTCAGCCAAAGCCTCTCTAAGCAGGGCTGCTCCAAACCTGCTCCAACAGTCTGACTTGTACACTAGCAACAGCTGCCTTCCAGTATGGAACACTTTACAGAGCATCACTGAGATGAGGAGGCTGTGCACATGCATGTTTCCCGTGCTTCAGGGCTGACAGAAGAAGTCACCATGCTCTGGGGTAGTGGTGCTCAGCACAAGGTAAGCCTAGTACCTTGGAAAAACATCGACTTGGACTACACCAGTCTGGCTCTCTAAACTTCCTGCTAGAAGGAGGTCTTCCCCCCTCTCTGCCCAACAGACAAAGCACCGCTTTGTGCCTGTCATGTGCCTTGCTCCAGGCTAAATGTGACTGCAAATCACCAGTGCAGCTTGCGATTGCTCTGGCTGCCTTGTTACATGAGGCTGAGCTTACACTGCTATATGGAGACTTAAATCCAGCAATAGGAAGCACTACTTCAAAAGCATCTAATCTTCAGTGTCTTTGGGAAGGATCTGCTATGTGCTTCATTGTGAAGTGCTCACGGCTAGCCTTTATGCAAATTTAGACAGTTTTCCCTTCCAGGTGCTAGTTCCTCTCCTGCATTCTTCGATCTGTGGACAAAAGCATTAATGCAGGTGGAGGCCTTGTTAATGATCTCTAAAAAAGAAAAAAAAAATGCAGCTATCAGGGAGTTGTCAGCTACTGCAGCATCCTTTCCTAAGCTAACATGCTGCATAATGTCTCTGAGTAATGTTCACACTGATAAGCTGATAAAATCCAGGAACTTGTGATCCGATAAGACCGAAGAAGACTTGTAGCTTCAACAGAAAAGTTACAAACTGTAACAAGACGATAAGGGTGTTCAAATGACAGGCACACTTGGCAGCAATGCCCACACACAAGTCCCACCAAATAAAGGACACTGGCTGTTAGCAAGCATGCAGCACCATAGATTAATTTGCACACAGAGGAGACTGCAGCCAGAAATTCTGATGTCTACCAGCTAACCCCACTGTCTTGCTCCTATCTGATCACTGGCATAATCAGCATTTCTTTGATTATAATACTGCTTGGAAAGTAGTGCTTGGCTCAGCCAAGAGAGTGAAGTGTGAGGCATACCCAGTAGCAAAATTTCAGGCATTTAAATATAGGTTTTCCCAAAAAAGCTTGAGAGTTCACAGTCTCATAAACAGCTCCATAAGAAAGCAGGGCTTTGTGCATGTCTCTCCCAGCTTATGGGATGTAAATTCCACCTTTGCTGCATCCTCTTTAGATGGGCAGAGGTATCAACAAAACCCCTTCCTTTTCCTGTGTCCGGGGGCTTTGCGGGAATCTTGCTATTGGGTACTCACTAAAGCCCTTCTTAATACTTTTTAAAATAAATGTACACTGAATTCTGTATTCTCCTGCTGTAAATTGAGGTCTTCCCCTGACTAAACTGAGCGGTATGAGAGCAGTCATAATGAGTTAGACCAAAAGTCCATCTTCATTCCATATCATGTCTCTGCAAACAGTACACAACAGGGCAAGCACATGTATTTCCTCTCCAAGTACTTTCTAAGCCTTCCTTCCCTGCACAGGATCTGTATTCAGGAACCCACAGTGGACCTGTTTTCTATGAGTTTCCACAGTTTTTCCCTGGACCCATGTAAAGTTCCAGCATTTGCATCCTGTGATGGGGAGCTCCAAGCTTCCCCCTAAAGGTTTGAAGCTCGCAGCCTAAAAGTGAAAGGTTATGCAGGTCACTCCCACTCCTTAAGGAAGCAAATCCTAGCAAATCCAACCTATGCAATCCTCCTAAGGACACAGCAGCTTCTGCCTGACTGCCACAGGCCAAGCTGTGGCCGCTGTGTCCAGCATACTCACCTCCGACTGATCATCCCATGCAGCCAGCTTGGAAAGGCCCCATCACCCTGCATGACCTTCTGGGCCTGCGTCTCTTTGAACCAGCAGGGAGTTGGTCCTCTCTTGAATTTGCTCATTTCTGCCTCTTCTTCAGTCTGTTTCTCTGTTCCCAGAACAGGGCGAGGCATAGAACAGTCCAAGAAGTTATCAAATGGAGTGGACTGAAAGTGGGGAGAAGGAGAAATGGGCACCAAAGCAAGGTCAAAGGCAGAGGATCACTGAAGGGATCACTTTGGTAGTAATTCCATCCCTGAGACCCTTAAGGCAAGATCATATGCAAACTATGAAATGCTGCTTTCAGTTTCTCTAAGGTCCTGACCATGCTTTTTAACTAACCACGGTAGGAAAGGACTCACGTCTCACAAGAATGGCCATGTTCTCCTGGGACAACATACAGGAGAACACACCGAAGGTGGAAGGAGCAGGGAACCAGCATATCTGGCTAAGAGGCCATAGGCAGAGCCAATATTGCTACCTTTGTTAGTTTGCTGCGAGGCCGTGGCACTGGTGGCTGTGGTGGCTTATCACAAGGATGGGGACGAGGCCGAGGGTACTTCTTTCGTGGCATGGGGACTGGAAAGGAGATTCTCTCTGCAACAAGAGGAAAGAAATAGATGAAATTTAGCACGCAAGATCCATGAGATCCATCCTCCATGTGCCCAGGATAGGGACAGGTCCTGCTGCACCAAGTATGTGGAAAAGACACAGCTTGGCACTCCTCCCAGCACAGCCAGGCAAATGACTTTCACCGTGCTACTTCTGCTCCCCACAGAGAAAGCCATGCTTTCAAACGTCAGACACATCGGCACCTCCCTCCCCACTGCATTGATGGAGCCCCCAGCCCCAGGAAAGCCCAGGGCAGGCCATCATCACCTAGAGCCTACAGCAATTCAAGGTGATCATTGCACAAGTGGCCATGCAAAGGGGCAGTGGGAGTAACTCACTCTGGGCCTCTGCTTCCATTGCCAGCTGCTGCCTTCTTTCTCTCTCTGCCTTCTCCTGTAGCTGCTGTGCCTGAGCTCTCAGCTCAGCCACCAGTTTTATGTAACTTTTCCTGCATCTCAATCCCCTGAAAACTGTTCAGAGAAAAGCTGTAGTTAGAAAACAAAAATGCTGTTCATGCTTTTGTCACTCCCTGGGGGAAGTACACTGGCTGGTACTCCTTCACCCAGTGCAAAGCTGAATTGTGTTAATAAAGAACAGTGCAAACTCCACCGTGAGCAGGCAGTCAAAAACACATGAGAACTGTCTTCTACTCTCTCAGCTGCCAGATCACATATTTAGAAAAATCAAGTTACAGATCTAAGCTCTCATCCCTAATGCGAAGGCACTGAATACCCGCCGTGGTTTAACCCCAGCCAGCAACTAAGCACCACGCAGCTGCTCGCTCACTCCTCCCCCTGCCCCAGTGGGATGATGAGGAGAATCGAAAAAAAGGTAAAACTTGTAGGTTGAGATAAGAACAGTTTCGTAACTAAAATAAAATAATTAATGACAATAATGATAATAATGATGATGATAATAATACTAGTAATGAAAATGAATATCACAAAAAGAGAGAGAGAAATAAAACCCAAGAAAAGACAAGTGATACACAATGCAATTGCTCACTGCCAGCTGATCTGCCCCCATAGCCAACTCCCCGTTTATACACTGAGTACAATCTTCTATGGTATGGAATATCCCTTTGGCTCGTTTGGATCAGCTGTCCTGGCCACGCTCCCTCCCAGCTTCTTGTGCACCTCCTCGCTGGCAGAGCACAGGAAAACGAAAAGTCCTCGCCTTAGGATAAGCCCTGCTTAGCAACAACTGAAACACCAGTGTGCTGTCGGCGTTGTTCTCACACTAAATCCAAAACACAGCGTTGTACCAGCTACTAGGAAGAAAACTAACCCTATCTCAGCCAAAACCAGGACAGGACCCAAAAAACAAAGTCTCACAGAAGGGCCTCTGTTAACCATCTGTCTCCCTGGTTCCCTTGAGACACTGTGAAGAAGATGGGATTTCCTTGGTGTCAGCCCACAGGAAAACCTTTCCCATAAGCAGCCATCACAGGGTTCATCAGGAGTGTTACAGACATTGCATTATCCAACCTACTCTACCAGGTACTAAAGCACATGAAGTGAAAGCTGCACTCTTTCATTTCCCACCACCCACTCGTCTTCCCCACGGATGAGAAAAAGACACAGCGTGTCACAGTCTGATATTCATCATACCGTGCAGCGTGTAGCTGGAAGCTACTCAGACACTTCAGCAGTGCAACAACCCATACAGGAGAGAAGCATGACAGAGACGGACCAGGCAGGATGACAGCCTCCTCGTCCTGGTTGCACAGTGGTCATGGAGCCTGTGCAGAGGGAAGTACCAAACTGCCCACAGTGCCTGCTCTAAAGAAACAGGCTGCCAGAGCAGATGCTCCCTGGAAAGGAAAGAAAAAAACCACACCAAAACAAAACTTCATCCCCTTCTGCCTGTCTCTGAAAGTAGGAATGAGATCTGTTTCACTCATCTTCTTTTCCCTCTCCTCAGTTCAACATCGCTCACTAAGAAGCACTCACTCCAGAAGACAGTTAGTCAGATCTCAGGATGCAGTCAAATCCTATGCTGGCCTGGCTCAGCTCAGTTCTCCTGTGCACGTGCCTTCCCTTTCCAAGACTCACACTGTCTGATGGCTCTCCCCAATTAGGGCTAAGCACTGAGGAGGTGAGCATCTGCAATAAGCACTGTGACTCCTCAGGGTCTTGACATGGCGATGGTGCCTGGCCTGAATTTCTGTCATCTGCAAAGATGCAACGGTGGAGCGCGGACTGGAAAAAAGTTTTTCCTTGCCCTGGTCTGAGATCAGAGTTGAGGGACTCTCCTGCCCCAGTGCTCACCTTTCTGTATGACAACTGCTGCTTTTTCCAGTCGCTCCACATACATTGCCAGCTGTTCCTGGTGCCAATATTTAAAGAAAAGTCGTGACTTCCTGTGAAGTTGGGGAGAGGAAGAAGCAGTGAGAAACACTGTTTGTCTAAACTTGCATCCATCATCCTTTGGACATGATCCAAAGCATCCTTTGACAAAAGACAGCATCCTTTCCTACAGCCATAAAGTTCTCCCTGAAGGGAACCAGATAACAGTCTACATGTATAAAGTCTCTGCAGTTCAGGCCACCGATTCCCAGCAGCAATAATCCATACCTACCCACATATCCAGCCTGTCAACTCTGTACGTTTCAGTATCTCCAAGCAGCTGAAAGAGAGGAAAAAAGTGAAATAAACAATTTTCCACGCAAAGTGAACACCACGCAGCCAGTGATTTTAGGTACATAAAGGGTGAGAAAGTGCCTCAATGATTCTGCATTAACATTCTCTGTCCCCTGTCACCTAATGACATTCAGTAACTGGCGGTCAATCTGTATAGAGCTCCTTCAGGTACAACTAGGATCACATTCGAGAACATCAGCAAAGGGGTTCACAGAGGTAGATTTCCTTCAACTACCTGGGAGGAAATTCTGCAGAGCCTATTTAATTCTCAGAACTGTTTTTCCTCATTTTGTTTCCAAGCTCTTTGGAGCACACAAGTTTCGAGGTCATCACAGCAAGACTTCCGTGAGAAAGCCTGTTTTCCAATTCCAGTTTCATTTTGCAGGCTCTAGTGATAAAACTTGCATCACTCAGAAAGATTCACCAACACTTGGAACTGAAAGCAATACTCTAGCTGCACCACACAGAAAGCTTCCTCCCTCTGCCTGCAAATCCAGGCTGTGAAACCACAGTGGCACTTTTTGCTAGTATCTCACATAGCAAAGTCGAAGTGTTTTTTCTTCTACCTCAGCCAGCTTCCGCTGTGTCAGAATCTATATCCAAAGTAATTCTTTTTCCAAAGCATCTGGTTTTGTGTCAGCAAATGCTCAGCATTGTCTTCATCATCTTCTTCTCCCATCAGGCCATCAGGAAAAAGCCTGGAGAGGCCTGACAACTGTGCTGAGCCCCTGACATACTGAGTTCAGCGGACACCATTGACTGTAATTGTGACTCCCTAAACTGAGTACACTAGCTAGTTCTCATCCTGCAGGATAGCACAGCTTTATAGCAATTGAATCGAATTGCTACATAGCAATTCAAGAAAGATATCATTGATCATTGTATCAAATGCTTTTTAAACACTAACTGTCCTTGCCTAGGAATTTGTGTTCCCCATCACCACAAAAACCCATCCTCACTTTGTTTCTTTTACTCAGCTTGCTGTGTTACTCTGAGAGAACAAATTGGATTGCACATAACAAAGGAAGGGTTCCTACCTTTCTTTTGTGAGGCAAACATCTGGTTTAACTAGAAGAATTCCATATCTGTGAAAACCAAACCAACACAGCAAGGTAAGAGCGATACCCTTGATGTGCTGAGCTGATCCACGTCACACTCACAGCAAACAACAATAAAGCACAGTCATTCCCACTCAGCCTCCCACAGCAAACAACTCCATGATTTAGGCTGTTTCACTTCTTGCCTGTATCTGGTTGCCAGTGTCACTTCCCTAACAATATCTAACAAGGAACATTCAGAGGTTTTAACAAACCTTTCAGCAAATTCCTCAAATGAGGGTCTCCAGGAGAAACCATCTCTTCGGATACGGATTGTCTCCAGCAGTCCGTTGTACCGGAGCTGAAGCAGCACCACAAAGAGGATGAGAGAAACAAGCAGAAACAGGTCAGTAAGACATCAGTTTGCTCCTCTCCAGCCAGAAGAGCCTTCATTCAGCCCTACATGTCACTAGTTCAAAATGCAAAAGCTTCTTTCTGAAAATGTTTCCTTGGTTAAAGATTTGATTTACCATACCCTCTGACTCTGATGATTAACTGCTTTTGGTTGGAAACCATAAAAAAATAATGAGTGAAATAACTTCACCTTTCAGCCGTATACCCACTGCTGTGCCTCTGTCCCCTAGAGCACAGCCTTTTATTTCCAAATCTGTACAAAGTACTCTGAGCCACAGGTGACCTTCTCTCTTAATTCTATCCTTTCTTGTATACATTAAACAGGCCACAGAGCTGTCTGAACTCTTCTAGTAATTTTCAGCATGCTATAAAGTGTCTGGATCTCAGACCTGACACAATAGTTAAAGACTATCATATCAGCATATTTCAGCTCCTATCAAAGCAATCCCATCTTGGCTGCTATTCAGAGTTGTCCTGGCTGATGGGTGAGAATGGCCTCCTCCAGGAAGCATCATTTTTTCTGGAGTTCTGTCTGTACCACCCAGGAGATGCAAAGATGAATCCTAGTGCCTGACACACAGATCTCATTGCATTCATGAAAAATGGGAGAGAACCAATACTCAAAACCTGGACCTAGCAGTCTGTGTCACAAAACCAACCAAGTACCCAGAACCTTTACACACATAAAAAGTGTGCCTACTCTTTTTCCTGCAAGGGGAGACTCAGATCAGTCAGCTCCCAGCTATCTCCACAGCCTTTTGGTGGGGTCTGCCCTCCCTGCTGAGACATTGGAGAAGTACCTGTTAAGGGCACTGCTTTTCCTCACCTGCTGCAGCACCACCTGGTTGTCCACCACACCTGGCTCCTTCTGGCTGTTAGGCTTTATACAGCGCACAAAGTGGGGCTTCGCAGAATATATCCTCTCCATAAGTGCTGTCAGGGAATGCTGGTGAGGGCAGAGAAAGATCAACAGTCCAGCAAGCCAAAGCACTGCTAGAGCCCAGCATGCAATATACTGCATCGAGAACTGTTTGCCTGCCCCACAGCATCTTCAAAACCTCTGATAACAGCTGGGTCATTCCCACCATGATCAGCTGTGCTTAGCACCCAGAAAAAGCCTTGTCTACATGCTGGATGCTCTAACTATGCTTAGCAGCCTGGAAGCTCTCATTAAATATCACTACACTCATCTCAGGGGGCACTGCAAGGCACCAATACTTTACCCGGAACTGAGCTCCAGCAGACTGGTTTCGTGTGCTGTTGAACTTGTCTGCTCCTGGTGTGACCTGAAACCAGACCCAAACAAAAGATCACCCCCGGAAGAACTGCTTGATTGCCATCCAGAAAGCTCTGCTGGAAGGCTGATGGCAAAAAGAAGAGAGAATGGATTTCAGAGGAGGGAAGACAAGTTAAACACATCAGCAGAATCAAGCAGAAAACCTGGTAAAAAACAAAGGTGAAACTGTTGCAAGCAGACTGCTGTCTCCTCTTATTTTCAACCAATTTCTGTCTGCTCTCATTTTCAGCCAGTTTCTCAAACAATAAATATCTGGTAACTATGCCATCATTTATCAGTTGCCACGGGGACCTGAAGTGCAATACCTTGGCTTTCATGTGAGGCATCAGTGTCCCCGTCCTGGAGACAGTGGCTGGAAGAACAGAGACAACAGTTAATTTTGGACATTTCCTTGCAACCAACCATGTCTAAATTCACTTCGCACACAAGTCTCCCTACAAATACTGGATCACAGACAGGGCATTAAGTTTCACCATGTGGAAATACAAGGAAAGAGCTAAAGAAAAGGAGAAGAAAATGCAAATATATGAAACACAATGCAGGCAATATTATTTACTGCCACTGAGAAGACAAGGCAATCATGTTATTGAACAACATTAAACGACCTTGAAAAGAAATATCATCAATGGGCATCTAACAATGCAGAAAGAAGTACAGATAGCAAATGGGAAGCTATCCTACAGCAGTCAATACAGGAGGTTATATAAAGTCAGACAGATTAAAACTAATTCAGTGACAAGGTGAAAAATTCAGGGAAGTTGAATTTATTGAGGGATCTAATGACAGTCTTGCACACGCTTGATGCAATGGTCTCATGTGAATCATAGAATCACTGAATGGTTAAGGTTCGAAGGGACCTCTGGAGGTCATCTCGGCCAACCCCTTTGCTCAGCAGGGCCACCTAGAGCCAGCTGCCCAGGACTGGACAACCAACCTGAGAACATGTTTATGTGTTTATTTCTGCTGTTTATGAACTTTTGGGGACTAGACAAAGTATCTTCAGTAACAGTGTGGAAGTAGTAATGAAGAAAGATACTCCTGAGCAGAAGAGCTGAAACAGACAGTGGAGAATAGAAATGAAACTAATCAGTTACTTGTAAATGCAAGAAAGTGGCATGGATTGAACAGGACAAAATAAAAATAAATCTGCACCAGAAGCACTGTGTTCAGGCAAATCCCAAGGAAGCATCCACCTCCCTTGTCTTTAAATGTTTACTTTCATAGAAGCCTTGGAGACTCAGAGGGCTTATCAACCCCTGGAAAAAGGGAGTGTAGTGGTGAGAGAGATACAATGCACAATCTCAGAGTTTTTAAACAAGTTGTACCTGAAAAACAAAATGTGTTTGAAAAGGTTAATCTCTGCACTCATTGTTTGTGTCTTTAGAGCACTCTATTTTCAGTGTGAACCGCTAGAAGCTATGACCTTGTCCAGCTTCATTTCCAGACAAGAACAGAGGATATGGAAAGGGGCAGTGGAGACAGTCCTGCACTGGCCCTGGAGAAGATGGACTATGCAACCTGAGGGAAGATATCCGAGCAGTGGCTAATTCTCTGGAAGAGGAGAAAAACCTGCCTTGCCTTCCAGGGGGGAAGGAACACCTCCAATAGCTCAGTATATGCCAGCAGCCCCACTCCAGGCTGCAGTCTTCCCAGACTCTTCCGGGGGCTGCCAGCTGTGAAGCACATTCATAGCACACGAGCCTCATCACCACACTTAACTCTTGACAAGGTGGGCCTTGAGTCATATGGGATGCCCTGTCATAGCAGAGGTACTTGCCTGTGAACAGCACACTGAGCAAGGGGGTGACACTGTTGATGAAGAGCTCACGGACACTGGCTGGAAAGGTGTCTCTGTTCTTCTCTAGAAAGCCCTCAGCAGTATATTGTACCTAGGGGAAAGGACAGCAAGTCACTAAGGCCACCAGCGCCCACAGGCTTGCTGCAAAAGCTACCTCCACAGCTTGCCAGAAGCAACTGTTAAACTGAATGTACACTGGCTTGCATGTAAATTCTGTACAATGTCTCGAAAGTGAATTTTGTAAATGCATGTGCATCCCATTCAAATCCTGATGAACAAAATCCTGCGGGCAGCACTGAGGCATTAGAACCACAGGAGTGCAGCATAACACTGAGACATCAACCTTTTCTTGTTCTCCTTTCCTTGATTATGAAGTTCCATTTGCTTTCGGTTTATGCTTCACTCTTTTCCTTGCTCTCCCCCTCTTCCCTTTGCAGGGCTTCCATCCTGTTGTCATGCATCCCCTTGTTTCTCTTGCTCACCTCCTTTCTCATCTCCAGCCTGCCACTCTCCTTTCTATGTTAGGTGTTACATTTTGTAATAAAGAATGTCACAAGTAACAACTTGGTCAACAATGGTGAGATTAGATTAATAAACTGCACATTACCGTGACCTCAATTGTCTGCCATGTCTGCTCCTGCTCCAAAAATTATCTCCAATTAGTTCAACGTATTTGGGCCAATGCTTTCAAAATTGGTGGCAGTAAGGTTACATGCAATAGTCCTAAACCTCAAGCTGCTTTGATACCATTGAATGTATAAATAAGTGCCTCCACTTTCAAACATTAACTACCTGGCTGCTCTCGCCATGTTCCTCAGTGTTTGCAATAAAGTAGTAACTGCTATGCTCTGAAACCAAATAAAAGTAGAGCCTTCAGACTGTCTTTTGGTGCTGCACAGTGGACACAGGGCTTTTATTTTATAAAGGACTATTTTAAGACTAGAGCTCCAATAGAATGATGATGAGTACCGCATATTCTTCTAATACCCTGTGCTTCCCAGAGGTAGCCCCACTTTCCTCAGGGGTCTTCTCTTCCTATATCTTCTACAAAAATCCCAGGGAGTCCTAGAAGGCAACTCCCTGGGAAAACATCACTTCTGTTATTATCATTGTCCGACCATACATTCCTTAACACCAAAGCTTTATTTGCCAAGCCACACATTTCCCCCCTCCTGCATATGTTACAACAGCATTCTTCCCACAAACAGTACATACTTTCCCAGCATAGTGAATGATGCTGAAACCCAAAACACGGCCTCGGCCTGGCTGGAAGTGTAAATTCTCCTTGAAGCGACTGTTTAGTTTATCCACAAACGTCTTATCAGTTGCCTGCACAAAAGCAGATTTCATAATCAAATGATAAGGCTGCAACAGACACCTGACCAGGCCACATGAAAGCAGAACAGAATGCTGGAAGTGGCCCTGGCTATGCAACAGTTTCATACTGTACTCTCTCTGACTCTCCACAGGGATGCCAGTATCATTAGACTGCCCCCGATCTGGCTGTCCTGTCTCATCAGTCACACATGGGGACACCTCTGTTCATCCTGCTCTTTAAAGTCACACTCCAACATCAGAGCTCTCTCTGCAGCCCAGATATTTATTGCTACATTCCACCACACTATTTTCTCTGTCCCCTATCCCATGCCTACCTGAGGGAATGCACTCTGCTCATCCAGAAGAGACAGGAGCCCAAGTGGCTTGGCCAGGAACAGATTCTGTGGGAAAGGAGACACATTACACATACCTAAAGCAGTACAGGGCATCCACTGTCACCTATGCCACCCTTTGAAAAGGTTCTTCCCAGGTGCATCTCCTCCCCACAACAGCAAGATCAAGACTCCTCTCTTGGCTGGGTGCAGCAATTCCCTTCTGTCAGCCCTCTCACTCACCAGAATAGGTTCATTATTGTTGAATGTGATAGTCTCCCAAGGCAGTTCTTCCTTATAGGCAGCCTGCTCCAGCTGGAAAATGTGCTGAAACAGATTAAAAAAAGAGGTTGTAGCAGCCCTGAACATCTTCCTTCCCATCCTGAACAGAGGACAGAGGTGTGGCTCTCTCACCCACGGCATCAGAGGCCCAAAATGAAACTGCTGCTCTGCATGCTCATCCATAAGCCTGTCACTCACTAATCCTGGTGCATAAAGCAGGAACACTTTTCAGAGTGTAAGTTCCCTGCTCTGCCAACTTTGGTCATTGCTTGACCCTTCTACTCCTTCCTTCCCTGCACCAGTGGCTCTTCTACCACAGCAGAGAAGGTTGCTGCTCTCTACCTTGTTTCATTAATCACCACTTCTGTCCTTCCAAGCAATACACCTGTTTTTCCCAAGCTCTTCTTCACATGCCAGGTACATCAGTGCTCTGCTCTCTCTGCCACACAAGGTGAGATCACCCACAGCAGACTTACATGGTTGAAGAAGTGCTGTAGCTGCTCATTGGCCAAGTTTATGCAAAGCTGTTCGAAACGATTCACTGCAAAGTTTTCAAACCCAAAAATATCCAAGATACCTAAAAGAGGGAAGATGACCACATCATGGAGCCTGCAGACCACCCCTGCAGATAGCTGTGTACCCCAACACACAACTAAATCTCGCATTACCCAGCTCTTGTGGACAAGGAAACCACAGCCAAGTCACCAGTGGCACCTCTCCCACAAATCCCCTTGGAGAGCTAGTTAGGAGAAGCGCCACTGCCACTCCTGTCTCCTCTGCAAAGCCATAGTGGCCCAGAACTACAGCATCACAGTTGCTTCAGACTAACCAACTGTTCAGAGTTGGCCAAGGCCCTACGGACTTCACGCTGGTGACTAGCATCTCCAACATGATCATACCTTTGCTAATGGATTCCTGCAGGCAACCTCTGCAAAACTCATATTGTGCCTTTCCTTCATTGTGGCTGAGGGATGCACATCTGAGGACACAACAGGAACAAGAGAGGCAGAACTCACCTATCTCCCTCAGTTCCACCTCAGGATCCATGTTCTTAGCCAGCAGCTGATTGATCTTGCAAACAATCCAGCTAAACACTCGGCCATATGCCATCTTTGCAATGGAGTCCCGAGTATCTGCACAGAGAGAACCACAGCAGCTCACTGAAAGGCTCCAAGGAGAGCAGGGAACACAGCACTCAAGCTGGCTCAATACACTCACCTCTAGCAAAAATGCCTAGTGGTTTATGAAGCTATTTTAAAGATCAGATAAACATTAGATACCTGTCTGATTGTCCCTGCCCTCTGCATGCTCACACAGAGCTCTTTCACTCAGAAATCTTCACAATTTCATTCAGAAATCTTTCTACAAGATCAGGTAAGGCATGCTAGGGCACTTGTGAGACCATCTAAAACGGAAAAATTTAATTTCCAAAGAAGTCTAGCCACTTTTTAGAATATCCAGAGACTTGCTTTCCCCTCTGCAGGTCTACTGAGTATGGATCCCCTCACTGCCAAATGAAGCAAGAGGCTCCAAGTTGTACTTGGAAAATTGAATGGTTCTGTTCCTCCCAGCCCACAGCCGCCAAGTGTTTAAATGCTGTGAGCAAGAGGAGGATGCAATCGATGGAAAACTTGCCGATGTTCTAAGAAGAAGGAGACCAAATCAACATGACCGACTGCATGATGGGAGGTGTATATTTTGCTGTTTAGAGAGATGCAAGAGAAGACATTTGGGAAACATAGCTAGCTACTGGCCCATTTTCAGTTTCTTCTTTCATGTATTTTAAGCAACAATCTAGAAATACTGCTATTTCACACTTTTAAAATTTATTTTAAAAATCTTTAACTGAATGTTTCTGTGCAGATTATCTTGGATTATTTTCTTTCCTTATTGAAAGGGAAAATAACACCTTGTGCTTGCCACTTTCACCTCACTCCTTCCCTGATACTGTGCTATCTCATTGTCTCACTCAGTCATTTCTCCATCTGCTACCTAGAGCTCTGTACACTGCCAGCACTATGCAACAGAAGCCTTCCCCCCTTTTGTACAAATATCTACAGTTTCTTTCTAGGCTGGACAAGGGAGGAAAGCAAGGCTAATTCCTTGGTTTCTCATTTAATCTCTGCAGTCTCCTGGAGATCAAACAAAAGCAGCATTCATGGTCCTACATGTCAGCAAGAGACTAAACAGATAAACATTGATATACTTGCCTCTGTGCAAGAGGAATGAAGGGGCACAGACAGACACCTTTGTTCCCAACAAGCTGCACATGTGTGGGGATACCCTTCCATCAAATATGGGTCAGTCTTTCTAGTCAGAACATCTGCTATTCATTATGTTTCTTACCTTCTGCCTGCTGCTGGGTGTGAAAACGCTGAATCTGTTCACCTCGGGTCACCAACACCGTACAAACAAGGCATTTTAACATTTCATCTTCTTGGACTCCAAACTGACTCTGAGAGAGAGGAAATAGATGAGGACAGTCAACAGTAAACCCTTATTGTACTTGTGGGATTGTGTCTCTCTGCATAGGTGTGACACCCAGTGTAATGGGGTCATGATTCAGACTAAGGCCTTTGAGCTCTGTTGCAAGAGAAGTATTACTGTTAACATCTCGCAGGACTGGAGTCAGATGCGGGTTCTGAGATCTGCATCATCCCTGCAGTGACCAAGCTCACTCTTGCACTCTGAAATACTTCGTTTTGCTCTCCCAGTGCTGCCACCTTTCACTTTCTTTGGGAGCCACGTTAGACCCTGCTGAGTTTAATGATTTACTGAAGAGCACCACACAGAGGTGACTGTGCAGGTGCTGAGACATCTGAGCTTCAGCAGACATCAGAGTCCCAGGAACCCATAAGAGACAGGAAACAAAGGGAACTCAGACGCAGCTGAACCCCTCAGTGATTGCTTTAACAGGAATTCCCCGCCCGTGGGAAAAAAAAAAAAGGAGCAGACTTTTAAGCAGTAAAGTTGGCTGCTGAACAGATGTAGGTGGTTGTTTCAGGTATGATGTAAGAGGGAAACAGACAAAGAGATGGGAGTGAAAAAACCAAGGGTGCTGGGATGTCAAATAAGTCAAAATAAAAAGGAAGGGCAGAAATACGGTACATTTTTCTGTCCTGTGTTGTTAACAAAGCAGGATAATGTATTCATCCCATATAATAAAAATGGGATGGTCCTGGGTAATATATACTTCTTAACTGGTGATAACCAATGAAAATTAATCGCAGTTAGAGTGGTAACCTTGGAAAAGATCTGTCAAAACCACTGAGCTAGCGTTCAGATACTGCACATCTGAATTTCTCCAAGGCATCATCACACTTAGTAACAAATAACAATTTTAAAAAGCTTGTATGGTATGAAGTCAACAAGGCATGTCTGATATCACCATATGCAAGGTACTGGTTCTAGACGCAAAAGAAATAGAATGTAGGAAATGTCTCTTTGGGAATGAAAAGCAGTCAACACAAGTGCAGTTACGGGCTTATTCTATGCATTTCTGGAAAAAACTCCTTGTTCTTCAGAAGCCTTCACACTCTGAGGCAGAAACGTTCTCTGCCATCTCTGGCAAAAGGAGCTCCTGCAGTCACACTGCCAGTGAGAATCAGCATCACACCCATAACTCTTCTTATGACTCACCGCTGCAGCCTTCAGCCATCCCTGTGAGGCTTCACTCACTTTTACAGACTCATTGCTCTCCTCAGGCTCAAAGGTCACATTGCCCAGAGACAACACACCAGCCAAGATAGCCTGCATGTCCACTTGCTCCTAAAACATAAAAGAAAGCTGACTGAAAACTTACCAGCATGTAACATATACAACATGCCCCAGAAGTTGGAGAAGTGACGGAAAGGGAAAGGCAGCCTGTGAGAAAAGGCGCTACACAAAGTCTGACAGACTCAGGTGATTTGGAAGCAAATCCAGAGCAAAAAGAAATAGGATTGAGCCTCAAAGAGCAGTCAGAAAGAAACCCTATGCCTGCAGGAAGCGCAGATGGAAATTAAACGACCCCAGAACTCACCTGTTCCTGGAAGCCCACTATGTCAAGGGCATTGCACACCTCTTGATATTTGTGCTTCCAGTGCTGAGCTACATCCTGTGTACCAAATCGTCCACTTATGTACCTGAGAAAGTGTATATCCCATACAAAAATGTTACACAATCAGCACAGCAAGTCAGTCTTACCCCAAAGGAACA